TATAGTACATTTGTAAATATTGTGGAAGACCGTGGACTTTAGATTTTGATAGATATTTAAAAACATGTTTAATATTTTAAGGCATGTAGATATTTTAAATCGTGATTTGATAAAATGATCTTTCCTATGTCGTCTTCTTTTTGATTAAATATCAGGTCCGTTCTAAATATATTTCCCTAAGTATATTTCAATGAATAAAACATCCCGTTATAAGTAATAATTTTATCATTTCTAACGAAAAACCAATCGATAAATTCGTAAAACACGAATAGAGTTCTTCCTGATACACACATAAGTATATAATAGAATAATTTTAGATACTAATCTCGTATTTTGGAATCTGGAGATACCATTAAATATTTTGCTTGTGTCATTTTACTTGGTATAGTCACAGACGAGCTTTACATTTCGATATTGAAAGTTATCAACACTGTAATGAACAAAAAAATCATATTGCTGGCGCATTCACTAGTTCCCCAACTCACCGTTGTTTAAACATAGAGTGCGCTAGAGAGCCAGTGATTCTTTACTGTGTCGGTATTTCAGATCACGAACCACGAAATCCCGTAAGTTGTTGGTTTATTCATATACTTTGTCTGTGATATTTAGAAATCGATACATTGAATGATCCTTTCCTCTAACGAATAAAGTCCAACATATACGTTATAGGAAAAAACTGTTCAAAATGCCTTCACAATATATTAAAAAATCAGCGAAATTGGTGAGGGAGTAATCAGTCTATATTTTCACCTAATTGGCTTCGCTATTGTGCATAGTGATAAAAAAAAAAAAGCGAGCTAAAGGGACTTGGGGCAAGTCTTCTTTTCCTGACGAAAGCGTAGTTGCCGAAATCTAAAGTCTCACATGGTTGCCACATTTCTGTTACTGTTGATTAACTATTTTGTGATTAATTAAAACTAGACGCACGCACCACGATGTCCCATGGTGCCGTCTACAGAGGAGTCTAATAATTTATTTATTAATTAATTGTACAATCCAATTCAATCTATTATTGATAAACTATAGAAGACTTTTGAAAGATAAACTATAGAAGACTATTGAAAACTTATAGCTGCAAAGATGCAGAGAATGCACACAATATAAAACGTTAATGCTAACACTGTTTATGATGTGATAATTATATACTTTAAATTCGGTCGTTGAGTAATAAAATATATTAAATTACACATTAGAACAGAAGAGAAATTTTATAAATGTTTCTTTTTTTTTGAATA